AGGGTGTTTGAGTTTTTAAACATACTGTAAACCTTCACATCCAGAAAACAAATAAACACAAAATACAAATAGACTGTTGCGTTTAGACAAAATATCTTCTCACGTACACTGGTGCAATACATTAAAATATCTTGTAAGTGCTCTATCACAATAAAACAAATCTCAGATTGGATTCTGCCCGCAGATACAATCTAAAAGTTTGCTGTATTTCAGATTTTTTTTTTTTTAGCGCTTTTTTATTTTTTTTTTAAACCTTTTTTGTCCTTTTGTTTTTCATCTTTATTATATAGGTATATTTATATATATATATATTTACAACTCTGCCATAAATTCCATTTCCTTTGGTTAAAACTATAACAAAAGTTAAAGCCCTCTCTTAAAAAGCATTCACAATAATTCTTTGTTCTAATTTTTATTTACTCATATTGAGTGCACATGTTGCATACCGTAAAATTAAATACTTTTGTATATTTAAGGGTGCAAGAAAGTATGAGACTAGAAAAATATTGAATTTAGGTGCCTCCTAGTGCTGGTATAATATTGCAGTCATAGCAAAAAAAGGCACCTTCTGGGTCACATCAGCCTAATTTACAAGGCACGGCTACCTCTGGACACCAGAGAGCCTCATTGCTTTCACAGGGAAGGGACTAAGGCTGGGTGGGATGTGTGCCAAACTCTGCCTGGGCAGAAAAAAAAAATAACTCCCATTTGAAGAAGGGCAGTTAAGTCTACTATGACTAAGGCAATTCCTACCACTGTGCTGCCATGACAAAGGCCTAGCTGAACTTTTTATTGCCCTGCTCCTCTGTAGCAGACAGTATTGGGGATTTAAGAAAAGAGTGTGCATTCATGCTCCCCCCAATCATTAATACAGGCAGCACTTGAGGCAATGCAAGGTCAGTGGATGGTGCAGAGACAGTAAACCAGTAGGTCAAAGCTTTGCCTCTTGACAAAGTGCACCTAAATACTTACTGCAAAGTAGGAATGCCCCTAGCTACAACACTTATGCACTGAACTAAAGCTTAGTGCAGCCAAGAAATGTACATTGATTTATACTTCCCCTCACTTCCGAGTACATACATGTAGCACCTAGCGCTAAAAAATACATTTCATAAAAGTGCATTCAGTACTGTGTGCACTTTAAAAAACACATGCTCTCTAGATAGGAACACTTTGTGGGATTGTAAAGGGCAGTGCCATGTAGGCATTTTCCATGCTAGCATTTTAAACACAGTAGTATTTCCATTTAAAGTTTTCTCTCCAATAAGTGTTTTACGGGCAACCAACACTGACCAACAACAGCTATGAGAACTTCTTCCACAGCTAAGTGCTTATAAAAGAAAAAAAAAAAAAAAAAAAAAAGGAGCGCCACAAATCATGTGCTTAAAGTGCTAGCATAGAAAGCCCCACTCTTACGATTAGTGCTTTTATATTTGTAACCATCATCTTTGGAGGTCCCAAACATGTCACATCAAAATATCTGTAGGGGTTGAATTATTGGTTTAAGAGTTAGTTGTAGACAAGGTGCTTAGTTCAAGTGCTTAGGCTTTGTTGCATCCATAGAATACGTCTCACCCCCTGTACAGGGATTCGATATTGTAACATTGTTCTAAGGATTCATGTCTAAATGATTGGTATTCCCATTTTGTACCATTTTTCTTTCAGTCACAAAACATTGTGGTTTGGTTCTAATACCATTCTATCAAATGACACACTATAAGCCACTAAAAAGGTGCTTTCTGCAGGATTTCTTGGCAAATATTAGCAAAGTAAGCAAGTTATAATAATGCCTTAATATAGGCGTAAAAACACTTTGATCCTCCAATCATTGTTGAAGTAAAAGAACCTTAAATTTAAAGCTGGCACTTATACTTCAGCAACAGATGTTTTCCCAACATGCCATCTTTCGAAGCAAGGAGGCCTTACTGAGCCCACTTTGCATTCAGACTGCATTTCGACCATTCATATGGCTGAGGCTTCAGACATTTGAAACTGCCCCACAGGGGAGCACCAGTGCATTAGAAGCTGGGTCAGCAGAGCTGGCTGTGAACCTGCCTATTGTATCTCCAGCCACACTCCGAATTCAGTCATTTCCATATCACTCAGGTTCTCTTGTGCTGAGAATTACAAGGATGAAATGATAAAAGAGTGCATGGATAATACACCATATGAATATAGGAAAAATATATTTT